GATAGCCGAACGGAGGGGGCTTTTTGGAGAGGGGCGCTTATTTCTTTTTTAACGTTTACATCTAAATGTGGAACAGTTCTTTCTGCATTGAAAACAGCAGATAGTTAGACTCAAGAACTGTAACAGTAGAGTTTCTTATAGTCATAATGTTCAATATTACGTTTAGATGATGAACTAGACTTCATATTTCCTTCGTCTAATCAGCCAGTGTCTTGCTTGCTGCTTTCATCTTAGCGGCGCTTGTAGGAAGGGGGCCCTAATTGGAATATCGAAGCTCATTAAGAAGCGGCACTCAATGTGGAGCGCTTATCAGAAAAAAGGACGCTTATTAAAGGGAGTGTGCTAGTTCGAAGCATTACCGTTTGCCATGGTTTACCAAAAAAACTTGATTCTTATTTGCATGTGGGCTTCATCTGGTTACTCTTTTTTTTGGAACTTATATCTTATTTGTGGATTCCTAAAAGAAAAAGAAGTTCATTTTAAAATCGGGATAAAATTGCGCAAGACATTCTTTGTTTTTTAAAAGATTTATAGCTATGCTAAAGAAGAAATGGATTTCTAATTGCTGGGTTAACAAGCTCTGACATACAGACAAGTAATGGAAGTGAAACATCTGCTCATTCCAAGAACAAAACAAGCGGTAATGTAATGCTAGGGAACGCAAGCAAAGCATAACAGCGGAGTGGGCTGTAATGATAGGGAAAAAGATATTAAGAAGCACATTTTTTCGGTATGTGCGTTAGATGTCTTGGTACATTTCCCAGTTGTCAAAAAAAGATAACTATGTGATATGACAAGATGCCTTTTTTAGAGTTCGATACTTTCAATTTCTACTAGTGAATCGAAACATTTTAAATAATGTCATGTACTAAATGAATGTAAAAGATAGTCTTTTTTAATCCGGCGTCGTCATCTGTTGTGGTTCATGCGCTTTAAGAGGGAGGTATTATTAGTTTCATAATATTATTTTTCAACGGAACTGAGATAGTTGAGAAACTGTTCGACAAACAGAAGAAGCTTTTTTTTCATGGACAAGGTGTAAGAATGCCACGACGTAATTTTTTTCCAACGGCAAGAACTTATACGAATTCAAATATAAAGGTCTCTGTGTTTCGGTTTGCCTGTCAAGTTTTCTAATAAGAGGTTTCAGTTTTGAACCTGTTCGGTCTTATGTTAATTAAGAATGACTTTATATAGAATTTAGTCTCCACTATTATTCAAAATATAAGATGGCGTTGCGAAAACTCGTTCATAAATTTTCCCTGGAAATGTTAACCAAACTCTATTACATAGGTTTATTCACCTTACGCCGGAGGCTTGTCTCTGATCGGGTATAAATTTGAATCTACGGATATAACACACCTGCTTTAACGCTAATCAATCGTATGTTTATCTTTTTTGGTGAAGATTTAGAGATTCAGTCAATTTCATGATTTGTCTTGACTGCGTTGTTACGATATAGAATATTATGTCAATTTTATGCATCTAATAGGAAAAGTTAGTTAAAGGTCAAAGTGTCACATCAAAATAAATCGAGGAATTAACATTATCCGTTATTTTCTAACGTAGAGCATGCTATGGTCGCTAGGGAAAGCTTGTGGCAAGAAAACAGCGACGATCTTTTCCTGTATCACTTTGCGAACTTTAATGACACAATCTGATAAACATTCCAGTAATTTTAATATTATAATAGTATTTCAAGGCGATTTACATTTGATTTTTTCTTTAAGTTTGCTCCTGGTCTAATTAGTTTCTTTTAAATTTCAAGCGTGGCTTCCAATCCTTCTGTTCCTCTTTTACAAGCGTCGTTCATTGCGGCACAGATGTCCCGGATGTTTCTTTCCCGTTTCCACATCTGAAAATTAGCAAAGAACTGTCGTAAGCTTCTTGGTGTATTGGCCACAAATAGGACTCTACTGTTTCGGCACCACATACAAGTTACATGTACATAATGCTTAGATAAAATAAAATTCCAATGGTTTGACAACTATATCTGATATTATTTTTCCACTGAGGGCAATCTACCAGTAAGTCCATAATGTACAAAACCAAGCGGAAGTCTGATCACATAAAGAATTGTTAGGTTTGAAAGTTAGGGAAAAGTGTATATTACCGAGATAGCGGATCGCTTTCCATTTGGCCTGCCCTTATTGTAAGCCGGGTTGTGAACTGCGTCTGTTTTAGGCAAGATGCAGCAGGTTACAAACAAAAGAGAAAGGAGCAGTACACACGTGCTTTTGTCCATAACTGATGAACACCCTGTATATCCAGCTCAACCAACGCTAGTTAATCAGGAGTCAAAAGGGGCGGTCCATATATAGCTGGCCATTTGTACCCAGACTGCCATGTGACTATTGATAGTTTTATGAAGTGGTGACCGCGCAAGCCCTTGTCCAAGAAACCTTAAGTGAATGGTGGAGTGGTTTATGTGGGGCAAAGAATCATCTTGAAAAATGCAGGCGCCAAAGTTGAATTGCGTTTTAAAGGAGTAATACATAGAGGTACCTTAATGATTCTATTTAGCGTCTGGGGAGCTATTCACTTTTGGTAGCTCAAGGGATGGTGCTCACTGGTAGGGTGCGCGTATTGGCCTGTTGAAAAGAGGGCGCTTATTGGAAGGTGAACGCTAAATCGAAGCTGGAACATTGTGGTGCTTTTGCAAAGAAAAAAAAATTTATAAGCATACTGCTTTTATCTGCTTACACTGTCTTCTTATTATAAGTTAATTTGTCGGCTGAAATCATGTGCGCGCCAAAGTTGAATTGAGTTTTGAAGGAGTAAGACATAAAAGTACCATACTGACTCGATTTATCGCCTGGGCTTCAATTTACTTTTGGTAGCTAAAAGGAGGGCACTTATTGGAAGGGGCGCCAATTGGAATAGGGGCGCTTGTTAAAAAACGGCGCTAAATGTGCAGCGCGTTTAAAAAGATGGCGC